TGAAGTATAATCCATACTGATGACTGACTGTACAGTAAGTACTTCATGTCTTTTTTGCTTTCAACAAGGAAGACTGTCCAGTTTCTTGGACTATTTGTTTAGTAAACGGACTGAGTAAGTATGATGAAAGGATACAATCCTGACGCACACTTTTTTTTTATTTTTACACCAGGCAGTATCCTCTTTGTTCTTTTCAAAGGACTGCCTCTTGTTCTGTGTATCGGCTCCTCGTAAGCACAATGAACTGTTCTGGAATCCCCATTCTTTGCAATGTTATCCATCATTTGCTATGATCCACACAGTCTAATGCTTTTGCGTAGTCAATAAAACAGAGGTAAACATCTTTCTGGTATTCTTTGCTTTCAACAAAGATTGTTAAGCACCACTGCCTTGTAAGAACAGAGGACTGAGAAAACACGAGAGTATTTCACACTCTAAAATTATATAGTAAAAAAACCCCAAACAAATTTCACAAGTATTCAAAGTGTGGGAATTATACCAATTATACTTAATGAGAAAACCCAAAAACTGCAATGAGACTGAAAATATGGCTAGATTAAGACAAAAGTGCTCCTAAACTACTTGAGTGGTTATAGGGAGCAGGGTGAGAGAGGACACATTTTCAGACTCCCTTTTTCAAAGTGTTTAGGAAAGAGGAGTATTTAATTTACTCTCATACTTCTTTATACCTGTTTCTACAATATCTAAAAGTGATATGGAAATTCCAAACTGAAAATACTGTTCCTAGTACCATCTGCAGTCATTCTGGGCATCTGCTTATCCACTGAGCATGTGAGAAAAGAGATGTGGCCAGTAGATATGGCAGATGACACAGGAAGAGCAGTTACGCTCTAGAGACCTTTAACAGAACTGGGGAAACGTTAGCTTGGGGCCTCTTGCCTGTTGGCAGACAGAGGCAACCTTCCGCATCTCTAAATCCCCATCTAACCAACATTGTGGGATGCCTGATAAAGTTGCACTGCCAAACAACATTAATAGTGTGAGTATAAATTGCTGATGGATGGGCCTTAGACAAAGCAGAACCCTCCAGTGGAAAGAAGATTCTTTGTAGTTCACTTACCAAAAAAAAAAAAAAAAAAAATATTCGAAGGACAGGAGAAAGTTGGGTAAGCATACTGTTAGTACACACTTAGAGTACAGTACAGACAAGAACGAATGTAACTTCTCATCAGTATGGTGAACGAGGACTTCCTCTGTCACAGAACAGTTCCACAAACAAGCCAGTTACCCACATGGGTAATGAAACCCTTCACTGTTAGTGCCTGGGGTTTTCAGAAAAACAAAAAAGTCAATGTATCATCACTGATTTTTAATCAGAGAAGAAATGAGTTTGTAACAATTTCAAAAATAACTGACTTGACACTATATTTTCCCAAATAAGGTAAAAAACAACCAAAGAACAATCTTGCTAGTAAAAGGAAAGAAGTATTAATAAATTTAATCAACAATCTTGAAGACGTTATTATCAAACAGTTTCTTTCCTCTTCCTCTACTCCAAGCAAGTTCATGCAGCACTAGTGGGAACCTTAATAATTTAATAATCTTAATAACTGTTTTAGTTATCATCAAAAACCTTAATAATTGTCCTTCCTAGCTCTTATCAAGAGCTGCTATTATAATGAGAAAATACTATATGTTGGGCTCTGTACTGGGTGCTCTATGTACATTAGCTCTTCTAATCCTCACATGACTATATGTATTGTAATTTCCGTTTTATATATGATGAAACATTTAGGCATAGGACACACAACTAGCAAATGACATAAAATGGAGATTAAAGAGCTGCATCTAACTCCGTAGCCTGTTACTTCTAACTGAAACCGGATGTAGTATTTTTCTTAGCATTCCCCTCAGAAGACTGAAGTTCACACTTGCTATGTGGAATAAAGAAGCGGAAAGGGGACACAGGAAGTGGTGTAAAAGTACTTTACAATTCATCAAGATAAGAGCACCTGCACTGCTTTTTGTAAGACAAGGAAAAAACCTGCTGTAGTACAAAACCCCCAACTCTTTTCTGGCCCAGTTATTATTAAAACGAACGTTTTTCTTTAACAAGAGGGTCAAGCAACACCTAGAGATCATAGTAAATAAATCACTTCGGTTCAGTGGTGGGGAGGGCATTATGCAACACTTCCCAGCACAGCCCTTGACAGGATATTTTACAGCAATTGGGCCCCTCTTCTCAGCTAGACAGCCTGGCTCCTTCGCATTCCCCTCAGGAGATAGGGTGGAAGCGCTCAGCTCCACTTTCTAGGCGGAGAGGGTAGCTGAAAGTCCTGCTCGGCCTCTCTGGGCAACCACAGGCGCCAATAAATCAGCCACAGGCGATTCCCTCATCCCCTTCCCGGCTTGAAGTGGTAGCAGGATATAATGCAAAAGAGCCCTGACTGGACTTGGGAGATAAATGATCCAGGCTTGAATGCAAATGACTGCATCACCAAAGCTAGGTAAATCTCACCAAGTCTCAGTGTCTTCATTTGTAACACAGAGTCAGTACTACTTCCTTTTTAGAATCAAAATTCATCTGTGCAAGGAGCTAGTATGGGGCTTGGCCCACAGCAGGTACTCAATAAAAAGCAACTCAACCTGAGCAAAATTCATCTCCATTACATCCAAATAACGAATAGCACTGTAGGATAAGCATTGGACTGCTAGCTGCAAGGTCGACAGTTCAAACCCACCAGCCACGCTGAGGGAGAAAGATTTGGTTACCTATTCCAGTAAAGATTTACTGCCTCAGAAACCCTACAGCAAGTCACTAAGAGCCAGAATCAACTCCAAGGCAGTGGGTTTAGCATATTCAAATAAGGTATCAAAATAGGGCTGGGCAAAAAGGTGCAGCAAGTTACATGGGGTCCTTCCCCACTTTCTTGCTGACCGGCTGTGTGATGTTCCACTATTTCCTCATTACCTTCCAGTCATCAGAAATAACCTATTTCAGGTTCTAGCCCATCAGTGCTCTGATACCTATTAGGAGGCTGATGTTTGATAATGGATTTTCAGTTTACCTTTAACTAAAACATGCTCAGATAATTAGATTCAAAGTCACCAGCTGCTCCTGGGAAACCCTATACAGGGTGGCTATGAGTCAGAAAAATTCGAAGGCACTGAACAACAACAAAAACATGCTCAGATGACTAAAGAGAACTTTGATGCCTTTACTCAAGGAGCTCCGGGAGCCTAGTAGCTATGAATCAGGCTGCTAACCTCAGAGTCAGCAGTTTGAAACTACCAGCTGCTCCTCGGGAGAAAGATAAGGCTTTCTGTTCCAGTAAAGATTTACAGCCTCAGAAACCCTGTACAGGGTAACTATGAGTTGGAACATAACCACCACCACCACTCATTGATGTTACAAATGTTGCTATTTTAACAAGTTGGGATGAATGTTTTTTGGGGAGAGGTCAATTCTAGGCAGCCTATGCTATCTTAAATTAGTGCCAATTCTTTTTGTTTTAAAGCTTTTATTGTGAATTGAATGATAGTTTACATGGGAGATCGGTTTTGTACTCAACCAATCAGATTTTGTTTCACTGCAATGATTACAGTCCCCACCATGCACCATATAAGTTAACAGTATTTGCCTCTATACCCCCCCCTTTTTTTTGGACGTACAAAAAACACACAAGAATATATAATCGTTTAAACAACCAAAGTAGTGCAATTTTTTACAGCCATCACACATTGGCAAAGCTTGCTTTCCCAACAACCTGGAGGAGTCTCTACAGTGACTGAGTTAGCACTGCAGTCCTGGTGTGGTAATGATCATATGCCTTTAAGCCTGGTGTCCTCATCTGTAAAATGAGAGGGTTGAACTGGGTTTTCTAAGGCCTCTCTCAGCTCTAAAATCTGTGATTCCAACGTGTACTTTACACACTTGACAGAATCCTGTGAGAATCAACAGCTCTGCCAAAAGGGCTTGAGTCTCAAGAGGAGAATGCCAAATTTAATAATCCCTTGGGAGGAAATGGGCGTTAATGTGTTAAACATGTATTTCACTACTGTCAAGTTCCAGGTACAACAACTTGATTTCGCCAAACAATGATGGCGCTGTGGGTTAATGCGCCAGACTGCAAAGCCATTTGAACTGCAAGGTCAGTGGTTCAAGCTCACCAGCTGCTTCTCCGAAACCCTATACAGGGTCGCTATGGGTCGCCACCTCACAACATAAGGCGTTAGGGAGAGCGGTGATTTGTAGGATCATCACTGTTCTGCGAATCACAAGGTCTGCAATTCGAGCTTGTGCTCCAGCACAGATTTACAGTCTCGGAAACCCTATACGGGGTCCTTACAGTCTGAACCGATTGGACTGCACTTAACAACAACAGAGAGAGCAGTGGTAAAACAACAGGCCTCAAAAGGAGAAACTGGATTTGCATAGAACAAAATTGTTTAAGTGCCGTTCTGTCAGTTCAGATTCATAGCGACCCTATATACCGTTTCCAAGGAGTGGCTGGGGGGTTTGAACCTTCGACCTTGAGGACTAATAGGCTAAAATTTGAAAAAAGGAAAAATATGAATTATGGAGAGAGTGGGAGACATCCTGCTTCAGATAATCCCAATTGGCCGCAGCATCCAAGTAGCCGACACCCGGAGGCCCGCCCCCTAACAGGAGGGGTCGGCGCCGCTGTCTGGGGGGGTCGCCGCAGGCCTGCAGAACCTTCCCGCGAGGGGTCGCACCGCGGCCTGCAGCAGGGAGCACTCCATTGCGACGCTCTCCGCACGCAGTCCCCTCCAGGGCCTTTTCGCTGTCCAGAACCGGCAGCGAGGGGTAGCTCTAGGGCATCCTCAGCTCAGCGCTCACTCTCGGTTGCCATTTTCCTCCTCTGCCTGGACATCTCAAACGGATCAAAAACACCCCACGCCCCAGCTACTTGCATCTGTCCCGCGACTGGCGTAGCTGCAGGCCACTGCCCCGGGCGGCTCGCAGCGGGAGGGGCTGAGCCCCGGACAGCCCACAGGGGCTGGGCCGCGTCTCTTACCCAGATGCCGCCGCGGCGGCGGGCCGGCTCCTCCGTGCGGGAGGGGCAGGCTCCCGCGCCGCGATGGGCACGCAGCAGCGCCGGCTCACGCACCCCAGCGCTCGCTCTCGCGCGGCTTCCCGCGCCGGCTGCGCCGCGATCGGCCCACGTGATCATGCGCCTGGTAGCCGGGGAACTGGTGTGTTGGGACCGGAGTGTGCGTGCGTGCGTGCTTACGTGCGCGCCCGCCGGCCCTAGTGGTCGGGCGGGGGGCGACCGGCGTTCCGGGTGCTGTCGCCAGGGTCCCTAGTCGTGACTCTGTAGGCGGAAGCGTGGGGGCAAACTTGAGCGTCACAGACTCCCCACACACAACCGCGTGACCCGGGGACTTTCCCCAGGGTGTGCAAAAGCACGGGCAACCTTTCAGTTGAAGGGTGGGGGTGGGAAAAGATGTACCCGCGTTTTCGCGGGGAGAGGAGTTAAGGCGCGCGGCCAGTGAAGCCAAGCCGCGGGAGCCTGGGAGGGGAGGCGGGCTGGGCGGGGTGGGGTATGGCGGGGGAAGTGACTCAGGGCTGGTGGCGGACAGGCCCATGGAAGGCAGAGTGGGGGAGCACAGGACATGGGCGACCCCGAACCGACCTGCCTCGGCAGGGACAGGGTGAGGGTGCCGGCGCCACCCTAACGCCAGGGGCGTACTGCGAGGGAGGGACCAGTTGCCGTCTCCTATGGGTCTGGGGTCTGACATCTGGAACGGAGTGGGGAAGTAGCATCCTGCCCTTGGGGAGTCCAGTCCAGCTGTGCAAACAGGAGGAGGAGGTCCCAAGCCTACCCTTGGGAGAGGGGTGGTCAAGCCGCCGCACCGCGCCGGCCCCCGCGGTGCGGGTTGCGCCAGCCTACTCGGAGCCCGACGCAGAAACTTGTTGCAACAAACAGGCGACCGCGGGTGCCCCTAGCAGCCAGCGGCGGAGTGGGTGGGCGGGTGAGAGGGAGGGGAAGGCTGGCGGACGCCGCAGCGAACTGGTGGGCAGACCCGGAGTCGCCGCGTAAGCGGGGCCGGCTCAGTGCGGTGCGGCAGGCGCGGCTGTGCGGCAGCGGAAGTCCTTTGTTGCAGCGCAGTCCCTGGCAGAGCCAGAAGCTCTCCGCGCAGCCCAGCCCGAGCGCCGCGCGCCGTCGCCCCTGCAGCTCGCGGCCCCTTCGCCTCCACCCGCCTTTCCCGAGACTGATTTGCCTTAAACTCCCTAAAATCTCCGCAGCCCTGGTTCCTGCTGCGGCCGGTGAGTATTTCCCAGTTGTGGGGCTATTTGCGCAACTTTGGCCCGGGCCGGAAGGCGACGGGTCGAGGGCCTGGCGGAGTGCGGGGCCGGAGCGGCGGCGACCCGTGCGGGGAACCGGAACGCAGCGGACACGCTGCGAAGACCCAGCGACGAGCGGCTGCCGGGCCGCTTGCTCGACCCTGCTGCCCGCCGGCGCGTCTACTCCGGGGCGTGCGGCCTCTCTGGGTCGTCGGCGAAATCCCCTCGAAGACTAATTCCCAAATTAGTTGCCTTCTTTTCCCTTTCTTTCCTTTATTTTTTTTGAGGGGGGGAGGGGAGATGTAGACGAGAGGCGGGAGGACTTAGTTTGATTGACGTGTTCAGAGCCCGCTTCTCTCAACTTACAGCTGCGGCTCCGGGGCTGGAGGGAGGGGAAGTGTCCCGGAGCAGGAGGCCGCAGACTTGGGCGCGCTCCGAGAGAGGAGGCGTAAGAGCCGTGCAAATTCTTGCTACGCTATTTCCCACCCCCTCTCCTTGGCACTTAAGCTTTTTGTTCACTCAAAGGTGGGTAGGTCTGGGAATTTTCAGTGGAAAAGATCTGTTTCCTTAAGAGAGTAATTTTGCGTCCAGTGGTGGGTATTTACTAGAAGTTTTGTTAGCGTGTTGGATGTTTGTCGGGAGTCGTTACCACTAAAATATGTGGGCATTGGTCTGAACTGAGCCACTCCCTGCCAACCTCCCTTTCTACCTAAGCGACCAGTCTCCTTGATCTGAAGGGAGCACCAAGGGGAAGTTGATTAAAATCATCGATGTTTAATGTGTAGGGCAAAGGGAGACTTCAACGTGGTAGGTCCGTGGCCGGTTCCCCATTGGCCTAAATGTATTTCTATACAGTATCACAGCAGGAAAACTGTTTTAGAAACAATTAATGCCTTTGATACTCAAACCCGCGAAGCGATCCAGGGATTTTTGAGGCGTCTTTGAATCCGTTTCTTGAGCTGAAGTTTGACGCACTCTGAAGCAGATTTAATGAAGGATGGATGCGTTTCTTATGGTAGCATCAAAGCAGTCACGAGCTTTTACTTTGAAACAGAGAAATTCGAGTCTGTGACATTTAGTATAAATGGATACGATCTGGAGAAAGGAAGGAGAGAGATACCAAAAGAAGCTTGTATGGTGCAGTTATCATGCTCAGAACCTCAGCACTTTTCTTTGTAATCACATGCTGTGCTAATAGCTTCAGTAATAACTGAAGAATGGCTTTGGGAGCTCTATAGGGGCCTTTTCTTTTAAAAAAAAAAAAAAAAAGAAAGAAAGAAAGAGGAAACTGAAGAATAGTGGAGGTGAAATGCTTTTCCAAAAGCTAATAGGCACAGAAAGTCTGAGGTAGAGCCTTCAGTTAATAATATTCTATTTTTATTTGGGAACATAGGATTTCTTCAAATTTCATCAAAATTTCACGGTATAGAATAACTCAGGTTCAACTGTTTTTCCTGATGCTTTTCAGTTTGTCTCACCCTTAATACGGTCTGCATTTTGATGAGACCCTGATGTTTCTGTCAGAAAGGAGAAATCATATTTAATACAGGATCTTAGCAAGTCAGGAACAACACAGCCTCCACCACTTGTTCTTGACCTTGTATTTTGATTTCGCTTTCATTAGCACAGCTAAATTTTTGTGCTGTTTCTTAATTCTCCTCGTTTGCTCTGGGGAAGATAGAGTTCATGGACCTTTTTCAGAGTGTCTTTTGTGATTCTTGCAACAGCAGCTCCCATTCTAATGGGCAGGGGAAAAGTGCCTGCGTTCAGGCCTTCCCACCAGCCAGGGAAAATGCTAAGCGGCATTGCATTAACCCTCTGGCTCAAAGGGGAGGCAACCATTTGGAAGAGAAGTGCAGCAAAATTATCATGGATATTTTGATAAGATTTTTATTATTTCATTGCAGTGTGTTGTCTTCCCAAAAAGTCGGGGTATGTTTGGAAACAAATGCTTGAGAGGTCACTTTGGTCTTTATAGGATTTCCTTCTTGTGCTAATATTAATATCTCTTACCATAAAATCCTGAAATTTGTTATTTGTGCTCACATATTCTAAGGAGAGCCAAATGAAAGGGATTTTTTCTCCAAATGGAAATTTTTAAGATTAGAAAATACATGCTCTTTGTAAACATTCAACCTATACTGAAATATATGCAGTTCAAACACGAAAGTCATTCTGACTGCCACTCCCCAGAAGTAATCACTGTGAAGTCAGTCCCTTATTTAAAGCTAGAGAATGCAACACTTGATCGTAGCTGTTCTGCTATGTGTGCCTCCCTCTGCCTAGGGGATGGCTGTGATGATTCAGGCTCCTGTGCTCTGTTCAGTACTTTGGCTGGTGAAAATTGCCAGGTATGGGAAAAGGGAGTGTTTTGTATTGGGCTGATTTAAAATTCTAGGATTAAGAAACAGATTTGAGAGTTTAAATATAACAGGGCTGCTATTTTAGGCTTGTCCTTATGCCATACTTAGGGTATCTTGGTGGACTAGTTCTCACACTTTTAAAATGTTGTTGTTACTGCCCAGCCTCTGTTGAATCGATATATAGCAGTTAACCCATTAAACAAAGTCCTCACATTTGTAGAGAATTTCTTAATTTATAATGGGGGAAGGGGTAGCTGTACTTGCCATGAAGGCTACTGCCAAGGTATCCCTGTACCTGTCTATATAGGATGGGGTTCTGGTGTGGTGCTGGGGGTTAATGCGCCAGACTGCAAAGCCGTTTGAACTGCAAGGTTGGCAGTTCAAGCTCACCAGCTGCTCCTTGGAAACCCTGTACAGGGTTGCTATGGGTGGGAACTGACTCAATGGCACTTAACATCTATATAGGATAGGGGTTCCTCTTGATGAATAAGGGTCTCTCTTTTTCTCAAAGGAGTTTAATGGCTTGCTGTCTTCAGCTGTGATATAGAAAGGGCTGATGCTGGAGGCGGGGGTGGGGGGTGTAAGTCAACCCTGACTACCACTCTTGACATCTAGAAGGGGACTTCAGAAAGTTCGAGGGCAAATGGAATGAAAAGGTAATGGAATTTTTCATGAACTTTTTTGAAGCCCCCTTAGATTTACAGTAGACATCGAAGTAAACTTGTATTTTTATGTATAAGTATACTATTCTAGGAGTCAATCTGCAAAGTCGGTTTGAACCTCAAGGTTGGTGGTTCAAGCTCACCAGCCGCTCCTAGGAACCCCTATACAAGGTCGCTATGTGTTGGAACTGACTCCATGGCCCTTAACAACAACGTATTTTTCTCAGTGTACTTAGTTTTGTCCTAGGTGTGTATGCTTATAGGACAAAATAAAAGTATATTTAGATGGATGTGTATGAAGAGTCAATTGTGTATTAACTACAAGAGATCCTAGTCAAAGCACAGAAGCACTTATTCCTTTGCTGGTGTGTTCAAGAAGAATGAATTGCAAATAAGTTGGTATTCTAAAAAGAAAGCGTCAAAATTGTACATAGAAATTTAATCACAGCATTGGTTAGTTAAAATGTTGGGGACATGAGTATTTTTCACACTATTCTGCCTTTAAAATATTTATGGAAATAAAAATTGAAAATAAAAAATTGAAACCATCAATCAGCTGTCCAGTTAGTTGTCTGGGAGACACATTTAAAAGAAAGAACTCTCTTCCAACTTTAAATCTGTAATATTAGGGTGCCAGGCTATAGATGGGGAATAGTCATCAGCAGGTGGGAAAGGGAGATGGGGACCAGAGCAGGCATCCTGCCTGCCAAGTGGGACAGTATGGAAACGGTGAATGCTTTTAGATGGATGAGAAAGGGTGGCTTTAGGAGGCTTAGAAGGTTGAAACACTTCAGTGAATAATTATGTCTAGAAAGAATGTTCTCAGTGTACAAAAAACTAAAGGACTTTGAATTACAAGAGTCAGAGCTTGTGTTTACAAGATGAGCAGTTTGGGGTAAATCAACTTGTCACTGTTTGTTTCCCCATTCAGAAAATGAGGATAATAAAAATACCAACCTGACGGGGTGGTTGTGAGAATTAGGTGTATCATGTAGGTGAAAACCCTTCGCTCATTTCTGACCACTATATACAAGTTAAGGAGCCCTAGTGGCACAGTGGGGGTTAAGCATTGGACTGTTCACTGAAACATGTACCGTTTGAACCCACCAGCCATCCCATGGGAGAAAGATGAAGCAGTCAGTCTGCTGCCATAAAGATTTACAGCCTCGGAACTCCTGTGGAAACGCTCTACTCTGTCCTCTAGGGTCGCTGTGAGTCAGAAGTAATTTGGTGGCCGTGGGCGTTATATAAAACCCGTTGTTAAGTTCTGTGGAGTCCATTCACATTCAGAGGAGCAGCTGGTGGGTTTGAGCTGCCAACCTTGTGTAGTTTCGAGTCCAGTGCTGATCCTACAGTGCCTCCATACCAGAAGTCCATATAAAATTTACCTTAAGGGACTTAACCATTCCTGAAATAAAGCACCAACAATAACAAAAAGATAAAGCAAAAGAAATCATTAACTACTTCATTTTATCTTTTAATTCTATTTTTTTCCATGAACTTTTTGAAGCCCCGTTGTGTAACACCCTGTACGAATAGGCTGCTTGGGAAGCACAGACAGGATCAGAAAGAACTTCCCAAAGGGAGTGAGTGCACTGGGCATCAAAAAGGTTCCACACAAAGGGTTGCTGTGAGGGATGCAACTCTTAAATAGACTTAAGGTTACATATGGAATTAAGCTTTTTAAAAGAACATGTTTCATGATACTCTTGGTTTTCACTCCTTGAATTTTAATTGGATAAGAGTGTGAAGTTTTCAGGATTTTGGTTAGAATTTCTTCAGATTCCATCTAGTTGGTTTCCACTCAGGAATCTTATGTACAACAGAACAAAACAGCTGGTCCTGCGTCATCCTCAGAATCATTCCTAGGTTTAAGCCCATGGTGTCATTCAACTTGTTGGGCTTCTTGCTGTTTATTGTTGACCCTTACCTTGACCACGGATGATGTCCTTTTCCA